GGTGGATTGGATGGAATTGATAGCTGGATGGATGCCTGGAAGGATATGGATCGGATGGATGAATGGATGAAATTGGATGGATGGGATGACAATTCTTGTCTGGTAGGCTGACACTAAATGGATGGATGGATGGGATGGCAGGCTGACTTCACACCTATGGCATACACTAGTGTAGCCACTTAGTGACTAAAGAGATGGATGGGACCAATGGAACTGGGTGGATTGGATGGAATGGATAGATGGATGGGATAGACGATGGAAATGGATGGATGGGATGATACTCCTTGTCTGACAGGCTGTCCTCACATCTTTGGCAAAGACTAGTTTAGCCAATTAGTCACTAGATGGATGGATGGGACTGGGTGAATAGGATGGGATGGATGGATGGGACTGGGTGAATAAGATGGGGATGGATGGATGGATAGATGAGATGGTAATCCTTGTCTGGCAGGCTGATCTACCACAGCAGACTCTAGTTTAGCTAATTAGTGACTAAAGATAAATGGATGGATGACATGGGTGGATGGAATTGCAAGGATGGGATTAGATGATGGGCAGATTGGTGGGATTGGATGAATGGATGGGGCTGGGTGAATTGAATGAGCTGGATGGGATGATCTTCGTTCTCTGGCAGGCTGAACTCACACCTTCGGCAGTCACTAGTTTAGCTACTTGGTGACTAAAGATAGTTGGATTGATGGATGGAATTAGATGGATGGACAGATTGATGGGATTGAATGAATGGATGGAGCATGGTGAATTGAATGGGATGGATGGATGGATGGGATGATAACCCTTGTCAAGCAGGCTGAACTCACACCTTCGGAAGACACTAGTTTAGCCACTTAGTGACTAAAGATAGTTGGATGGATGGAATTAGATGGATGGAATGGATGGGATTGGCAATTGTTAATGGGATTCAGTGGATGGATTGGATGGATTTGTATTGATAGGCTGGTAATCTTTGACTGGCAGACTCACACCTATGGTGGGCATTACTTTAGCCACTTAGTCACTTGATGGATGGTTGGGATTCGATGAATGGGATAGATGGATGGGATTTAATGGATGGGAAGGATGGAGATGGATGAATGGATGAGATGATAATCTTTATCTGGCAGGCTGACCTCACACCTATGGCAAACACCATCTCTTTAGTGACTAAGTGGCTATACTAGTGTCTGCCATTGGTGAGGTCAGCCTGCCATCCCATCCATCCATCAATTTGTCAGTGATTGACAGATCCAACAGCCAATAGCAGCGCGGGTAGGGCGGAAGTTTACCCGGAAATGTAAAATTGTGTATGTATACGTGATTTTGCACAGCGGAGCCACCCTATATCAGTATATCTGCTATGGGGAGGCTCTACTTCACAATCAGAGGACCCCATCTAACATAAGGGGTCCCAAATCTCAAAGGCCCCTGCTGCAGCCACACACCATGCTGATGATGATTTCTTTTTTTGTTTCTTTTCCTTAAAGGTTGGGCCCAGCAGATTTGCAGCCTCTGTCTGAAATCAAATCAGAAGATATCTGGGATGTGTATTCCCCTAGAAGAACCTTCAACAGAAAGTTAAGTACAAGTGAGTATGCTTCCTGGCTCTGGATTTGGGCTATTAACCCCTCGCCCTCCAGAGGATCCCCCCCCCTTCCTGACCACGTCATTTTTTGCGCTGCGGCGCTGCGTTACTTTAACTGACAATTGCGCAGCCATGCAACGCTGCACCCAAAAAAAAATAAATTTACATATTTTTTTTTTCTACAAATAGAGCTTTCTTTTGGTGGTATTTGATCGCCTGTGCGGTTTTTATTTTTTTGGGCTATAAACAAAAAAAGACCGCCAATTTTGAGAAAAAAACAATATTTTTTACTTTTTGCTATTAAACATGCACGATAAAAAAAAATTTAGAAAAATCTAATTTTGTCATAAATTTAGACCAAAATGTAAAAAATAAAATGTAAAAAATCAAATTTCATCATAAATTTAGACCAAAATGTAAAAAAAATCATCTAAAAAATCAAATTTCATCATAAATTTAGACCAAAATGTAAAACAAAGTAAAAAATCTAATTTTGTCATAAATTTAGACCAAAATATAAAAAAAAATGTAAAAAAAAAAATCAAATTTCGTCATACGTTTAGACCAAAATGTAAAAAACAAATGTAAAAAAAAACAAATTTCGTAATAAATTTAAACCGAAATGTAAAAAAATCAAACTTCGTCATAAATTTAGACCAAAATGTAAAAAAAAAATGTAAAAAATCATCCCCTCTCTCTCTCTTCCCTCTCTCTCTCTTCCCCCCTCTCTCCCTTCCCCCCTCTCTCTTCCCTGTCTCTTCCATCTCTCTCTCTCTCTTCCCTCTCTATCTTCTCTCTCTTCCCTCTCTGTCTTCTCTCTCTTCCCTCTGTCTTCTCTCTCTTCCCTCTCTGTCTTCTCTCTCTTCCTCTCTATCTTCTCTCTCTTCCCTCTCTATCTTCTCTCTCTTCCTCTCTCTTCTCTCTCTCTTCATCTCTCTCTCTCTCTTCTCTCTTCCTTCTCTCTCTTACCCCTCTCTCTCTCTCTTCCTCTCTCTCTTCTCACTCTCCCCTCTCTTCTCTCCCCTCTCTTTCTCTCCCCTCTCTTTCTCTCCCCTCTCTTTCTCTCCCCCTCTCTTTCTCTCCCCCTCTCTTTCTCCCCCTCTCTCTCCCCTCTCTCTTCCCTCCCTCTCTCTTACCCCTCTCCCTCTCTTCACCCTCTCCATCTCTTTCCCCCTCTCTCTCTTCCTTCTTACACTTCTCTTTCTCTAGCTCTCTCTTCCCCTCACTCTTCCCCTCTCTTTCTCTTCCCTCTCTTTCTCTTCCCTCTCTCTCTCCCCCTCTCTCTCTCTCCTCTCACTCTTCTCTCACTCTTCCCTCTCTTTCTCTTCCCTATCTTTCTTCCCTCCCCCCCTCTCTCCCCTCTCTCTCTTCCCTCTCTTTCTCTCCCCTCTCTTTCTCTCCCCTCTCTTTCTCTTCCCTCTCTTTCTCTTCCCTCTCTCTCGTCTCTATCTCCCTCTCACTCTTCTCTCCCTCTCCCTGTCACTCTTCCCTCTCTTTCTTTCTTCCTTCTCTCTCGCTGTCACTCTTCTCTCTCTCTCTCCCTCTCACTCTTCTCTCTCTCTCTCTCCCCTACTAGCACATATTCCCCCCATTCCTCCTAGCAAATGCCACCCGTCTTCCCAAAATCCCCATTACATTTCCTAGAAAAGTGGAGAGGAAAGAGCCCGGAGGAGGTGAGCTGTGCTGTGTTCTCTGGGCTCTCCCTCCTGTCGTCCATGCAGCACATGAGACATGATCACTGATAGATCATATGGGACTGCACACACGCACAGTATGATCACCACCCCCCTACCTCCTCCCAAGGGCTGCTCATCTCTGGGCAGCAGGAAATGTGGGTAGGGGGTGGTAATCATACTGTGTGTGTGTACATTTCCTTACGATCTATCAGTTAATGTGTCTCATGTGCTGGATGGACGATAGGAGAGAGAGCCCAGAGAACACAACACAGCTCACCTTCTCCCGGCTCTTTCCTCTCTGCCGCTTCTCCTCTCCCTGCTCCAGGCTTTCCCCTGCTTCTGGCTCTAAGTGCGGGCAGGGGAAGGAGCTCAGCACCCACTCATGAACACCAGTGCACCTCCTCGATCTGGCCAGGTCTGTCTCTCCCTCCAGCGGCAGAAAGCTGGTGGGAGGGGCAGGGGGAGAAACCAGCTTTCAGCTGCTGGAGGGAGAGATACACAGGACATCGTTCTGCAACTGCTCTCCCCCACCACACCGATACTCCTTCTGTCTGGGCCCCCTACAGGAGTACCGGTGGTACCCCTCTGATGGAGGCCTTGCATGCCTCAGTCCTCCGTTGCTCACCAGGTCCCTTCTTCCGGGGAGCAGTGCCACCCCCCCCTAAAAATTGCCACCCTCGGCAGCTGCCTTGTTTGCCTCAAGTTAAATACACCGCTGCTCTAGATGGTAATACTGAGTTTACGTTATTAATCTCAAATTCAGCCTCTCATCAATATTGGTGGAACAAGATCACTCTGTTCAATGGTCCACTTCTAATCTTCACCAATCAGAGCACAAAGCCAGTACGAGTTAGACCATTCCTGCAAACATAGTGTATATAGAAACAGATGACTCTGCAAAGCCCTATTGCACACCACCAACTTTTTAACAAGCCTTCTGATGAATAATAAAAAGACTAAACCTCTACTAACTTGAGTACAGGTCCAGTAGAGCGTGACTGCTCAAGTCATATTCAAATAAAAAGTTTTGACTGGAGCTTGACTTTAAAGCTTACCCAATTGTAACCCCCCAACCAATCTCTCCCAACCCTGCTCCCACCCATTAGCACATATATAATATAATAAATAGCTAAAATACTTACAAGGATGACGTCATGTGGCCGTCCATGTTGCCTCTTTCGGGAGTATAGACTGGTGAACCAACATTGCAGACTGAGCCCACTATTGACTGGTATTGTTGCCACCCTTCACCATGAATTTATGACACTGCTGCAGTGTTCTGGAAGCCCACCACTAGCAGGGAGTGTTTATATCATCCAGATATGTGGATGACATGAGGAAGAACCCTCATACTCCGCAATGAGGAAAAGAAAATAATTGGCCAGATAACCAAAGGTAAATAGAGGAGGCTTTTTGGTAATTTTTTTTAACCCAGTGATTAGCTGGAGGAAGGGTGAGGGTTAAAGAAAAGTTGGAGGGATGGGCTTCCCTGAGATCAGATTTATTGTTCTTATTGTATGTGTTTCCATTGAGCAGGTGAAGATGTAACAAACACTGAGCTGTATGAAGACATTATAATCATTGACACCCATGAGTCCTCACCGCAATCAAAGCTTAGCCATCGACCCTCAGAAAGCAAGCGAGGCCGCAGGGCCTATAGTCCTCGGACATCTGATAGAACTTCCCCAGAGAAATCCATTGCTAGGGAAAGAAGTACCATAGATTCTGCGGGGAACATTACCTTAATGACTGAGACCATCTACAAATGTAACAAGTGTGACAAGACTTTCTATACCCGCTCGGGCTATCGCAAGCACCAGAAAAACCACGCCGAGGATGACAGGAACATCTGTGCTGACTGTGGTGAAGCCTTTGAAGACCAGACTACTTTCCATCTACACAAGGAGGCCCACTTGAAGGACAAGCCCTGGGTTTGCACAGTATGTAAAAAACGCTTCAGACTCCAGTCACACCTGGCAAAACACGAGAGGACTCACACGGGACAAAGACCTTATATCTGCAAGGTGTGCGGGAACTCCTTTAGTCAAAGCTCCAATCTTGCCACCCATATGAAGACTCACTTTGCAGGAAAATCCTACATGCCCAAAGACAGTGGCCAACCATTTAGTTCCGATACTCAGGTGGTTTCCCATAGGACGGTAACCACGGAGGGTAGTGTTTTTACTTGTTCTGAATGCGGTAAAGAATTCAGAAGAAATGCCCATTTGGCTTCCCACCAAAGAATCCACTCGGGAGAGAAGCCTTATTCTTGCTCTCATTGCAACAAGTCCTTCAGCAGCAGGTCCAACCTCATCTTACACCAGAGAATTCATACGGGGGATCAGCCATATGCTTGTGTCATATGCGACAGGAGGTTCAGCAGTGGCTCCAGCTGCGCCAGACATGAGAAGAGGCATTCTGGGCGAAAATCCTTTCCATGTGGAGGCTGTGGCCTAGACTTTAGCAGTTGTGACAGTTATACCAACCACTCTTGTGTTCTCATTAGTTAAATTGTTGCTGCTTTATGTGGTTTGAAGACCAGGATATTATATAGCATTTGTAAAGTCAAAACTTTTTTTCTAGAGTTTTTAGTAGAGTAGGAAAAAATTTAAACCCCTCCTCATTTATTTGTTGCTGTCTTTCTCATGTTAGGAAGATTTGCCTTGATTTTTTGGAACTGGAAGAAGCAAGGGTAATTTCTCTTACTGGAAGTCCTCATCCAATGGGGACTTCTGGAACAGGGGTCCCCATTGAAATAACCTTCACATCAGGGGTGGACTGACAACTCATGGGGCCCCGGGGAAATAGGGGATTATGGAGCCCCTGTGTCCTTGCCAAAACTCAAAAAAGCCTATGAAAAAGGTACCAGGGGCATCTCATGGGGCCCCCTACTGACCCCGGGCCCTCGGGCAGTGCCCGAGTTTCCAAATGGTCAGTCCACCCCTGCTTCACATTTTGTTTTGGTGACAGCTTCTAAATTTAGCATTTCCCATCATTTTCTGCTTCTGTGGCAGTTGGTCACCAGGATAGAGAGGGTTAATCTACTGAGTGGGGACACAGACAGCAATCCAAACTTGACACAGGCTTTAACCCTTGTCTATTCCACCAAAAAAAAAAAAAAAAAGTTTTGACTATACATATACTTTCGGGCAGGTTTAAAGAGGACCTATCACTTCTTACCCAACAGTAGGAGCACCTTCTATCTAGTATGCTTCAGACAAAAGTTTTATGACTTTCCCATGCTTGTTCAGTAAAAGAGTTTTAGGGGAACCTGTGCCATATTTAATGTAAATTCTAAATATTCTAAATATACACATGAAACAGTTAGCGTAAAGTGTTGGTTCAGCCAAAACCTTTTTTTATTGTCTTTGGATAGAGTGGAGGAGGATTTTTATTGTTCTTTATGGTTCAGTTAGAGATTTTCCTTCATTTCCTCTACTGTTGATGCTACCACTAGATGGGAAGTCAGGGAAAATCTGAAACGGGGAAACAACAGAAGTGCAGGTGGGGTTCTAGCCTTCCCCCCACTTAAAAAAAATATTTCTTTGTTGCTTTCAGAAATTCTCTCACTTCTGTTTAGTGAAAGCGTTCTCCGCAAGAAGCAGGTGAAAATCTCTAACACTGCCCCGAATAGCAGCTAAACCCAAAATAGGTTCTAATTCACCTCCACTCTATATACAACTAAAAACATTTAAATTTTTTTTATTATCAATAGAGTAAGGAGGTTTAGGGCTCATGTACACATGGCGTTTGAAAAACTTTTCTGACTGCTAGAAAACGTAAGTTAAAAACGTCAGTTTAGCTGTGCTTAGCCACGTTTATGCGCGTTTGCGTCTGGAAGCGTTTTTAAAAGATAACCTCAGGAGACCCTCCCAAATTCCCAGAATGCACTGAACAATGGTAAATAATTAACTATGTCAGACATTTTGAGAGAAATAGAGAGAGCAGAAGCAGAGAGAGCAGTATGTGTTGAGATGACCTGTCTTTTCTGGTTGTATTCACTATGGATCCCATCATGAGCATAATGCAGCACGTTCTACCATTTTTTCCTTCACACAAAACCTGGAACTGACTTCACTGGTGTACAGGGTCCATTTGAATACATGGAAAATGCTGTGCATGCAGAAAAAAGGCTCTGGACAGCATCTGGATATGGACTAGCCCAAAAGCACATCTAAACGCGCGTAAACGCATTTACAAGCATTTGGTATTTAAAATGCTGGTAAACTCTACTCCTGAACGCGATTTTTGTGCTTTCACAAAAAATGCATGTAACCTCAACTGCCTGTAAACTACTGTAAACAATTATGTGTACATGGACACATAGTAAAAGATAAAGGAGAGTTCAGGGGCTGCTGAAAATAAAACGCACAACTACGTTTAAACTTCAGTTTAGCAGCTGCAGTGTACATGAGCCCTTAGAATCTGTAGAAATACCGTATCTCCTAATTCCCCATCTCAGTGAAAATATTGTCACTTAACAGGTTAAACAGGAACACAAAAGAATTGAAATACTTTTCATCCTTGAGTGGGTCTGGCTGCTCTTAAGTGCTTTCCATGTGCCTACTGAGAAGATTTCATTCCTTTGAATTCTTCATCTCTTCCATTCTTTGAAGGACATAGCTGGATCTTTAGCTCATTTCATTTCATTCAGATCATCGGTTGATTTATAGGTATCCCCAGGCCTCGGTATGTATTACATTGGTCTCCCTGGGAGGTGCGGGTTCCCTAGGTCAGTCAGTAACCAACCCCCCTTTCCTTCACACACAGTGCTTTACAGTGCTGTTAGCTTCCCAGGGACTCTTCTTCAAGGGGTGTTGACCACCCGATGGCCTTAATTACCGTACAGGGCCAGGATTCTGCTTTAGCTTTTCCATCATCTATTGAATTCCCTTTCACCTAGTCTGTACCTTTCTTCAGGATGTTAAGCGAGTTGTTTAGCCTACAAGGTCTCCACTGCTGCCGTCGGATCTGAATATGGTTGCATTGGTCTCCCTTTTGAGGAATTCCCTCTGTTGACTATCTCGAGAAGGTGGTTTCCTGGTGGCTATCACTTTTGTGGGGATGGTCTCCCAATTATCATCTCTTTCTTGAACTCCAGCCTCATTTGTCCTTTATGCTAAAAGTTGATTCAGTTTCTCACTTCAATGATGTACTGCACTAGGTTAAGGTGGTACTCCAACCTCGATTGTCCTTACTGCTGAAGGTTGTGTTGGCTTCTCACTTGAAAGAGGTCATCATTTTGCGTCCTTTGCATCCCACTCCTTTTGTTCAGGAAGTACCACTTTTTTTTTAAGTGGTTCAGGCCATATGAGTTTGCCTGTCTTCTTCCATTTTCTATTTGGAAGACAGATTCTTGATTTGTGTGATACAATCCGAGGCAAGGGGTTTCCTCGAACTAAACCAATGCATACTTTAAGATCTGAAGATCCAGCTGTGTCCTTCAATTAACTCTTGCAATGAGTACATAAATCCCATTTTTATTGCTGTCTTTGCCATCATTTGATATTTTTCCTCACTTCCTCTCCTGGATACAGTGTTAACAGTCTCCAGGACAGAAACGTAAGAGAAATCCCCTTAAAGGGACACTAAACTCTGGTTTAAAAAAATATATTCAAGTAAGTATTATTAAACTGATTCTTAAGGCGCCAGATTTTTTTACCTTCATTCATTCTATGCACGAAGGTAAAAACCTTCTGTGTATGGCAGCCCCCCTAACACTTACCTGAGCCCCATCCCAATCCAGCTATGTCCACGAGAGCCTTAGTTCTCCAGGGACATTCAATCTTGATTGGCTGAGGCAGCATTGCACCCATAGCAAACGACTTTCTATTGGGGGCGCTGGTCAAGGGGGAGGAGCCAGGAGCACCAGTAGGGGATCTGAGAGGAATAGGGCTGCTTTGTGCAAAAACATTGCACAGAGCCGATAAGTATGACATGTTTGTTGTTTAGAAAAACAAAGAAGAAAAATTAACCTTTGGGATCACTTTAATTCATGGCAAGAAAAAGGTACAGAAGAATATATGATTTCATAATGTTCACGTTGATTTTAGTGAATTTAATAATGGGTCCCCTGTAATTATGGTTTACAATATGCAACCACTATTAGCTTCAGCTGGACATATGTGAAGCCATAAAGCTCTTCCAAGGTAAATTGCACATTAGGCTGGCCATACATTATACTCTGATTTTCTGCCCAATTTCCTTTAGACTACCTTTAGGTGCAAGGGCCTGCCTAATTGGATACAACTGAAAGTGTTGTTTACTATTAGTAAATCTAAACCAAAAATCTGCAGATAATTGTTTAAATGGCCAGCCTTAGGCTCTGAGTAATCCTGACTTTAGGTTGGAAGGGACAGGTCAATTTAATGGCATGCTAACCTCAATTATATTGTCAAGTGCAAGGGAATATATACTGATCAGCCATAACTGTATGACCACTGACAGTTAAAGAGAATACCACTGATGATCTCATTACAATGGCATCTCAAAGTGGGTGTGATATATTGGGCAGCAAATGAACATGTCCCTTAAGTTGATGTGTTGAAAGCAGAAAAATGGGCTTTGCGATCTGCTGTGTATGGGGTGTGTAGCCGCAGACCGGTCAGGGTGCCCATGATAACCTGTGTCCACAGCCAAAAGTTCCTACAATGGGCATGTGAGCATCAGAACTAGACTATGGAGCATTGGAGGAAAGTGACCTGGTCTTTTGAATCATGATTTCTTTTAGATCATGTGGATGGCTGGGTCCATGTGCTTCACTTTCCCAAGGAAAAGATGGCACTAGGATGCAGTATGGGAAGAAGGCAAGCTGGCAGAGGCAGTGTGATGCTTCAGGCAACATTCTACTTGAAAACCTTGGATCTTGCCATTCATGTGGATGTGACTTGACATGTGCCACCTACCTAAACAATTCCCTTACTGCAAACAGTATTACCTGATGGCAATGGCCTTTTAGCAGGATGATGCACCCTGCCACAGTGCAAAATGGTTCAAGAATGGTTTGAGAAACACAACAACAACAAGTTTGAGATCTTGACTTGGCCTCCATATTTTCCAGATCTCAATCCAATGGAGTATCTATGGGATGTGCTGGAAAAACAAGTCTTAATAAATGGAGACCCCACCTCACAACTTACAGGACTTAAAGAATCTGCTATTGATGGCTTGGTGCCAGATACCACAGCTTACCTTTAGAGGTCTAGTGGCGTCCAGGCCTCCGTGGGTCAGGGCTGTTTTGGCAGCAAAAGGGAACCTACTGAATATTAAGTCGGTGGTCAGAAAGTTATGGCAGATCGGTGTATGTACTCTGGATACAGTTTTATATTACCTCTCTGCATAGCTGATATGCAAACAACGAGCTTGTGGTGATCGCCTCCTATGTTTGTTTAATTTGTGGGACTTACCTGCTTAGGCCATGGCCAGAATGAATTCATGATCCTCCACATATAGTCACATACGAATTTAGACTGAAAAAAAAATCACCAATTGTGATTAATGATTTAGGTTC